CAGAGCACATTACAATCCCTACAAGAGCATGGATTCTTAATAAACTGGAAGAGTCAATTAACACCATTGACTCGGATTATCCACTTAGGGGCACATACTGACAGACAACGTAACTGCCAAAGCTCACATAAACAAACTGGGGCACACAATCAAAACAGCTTATGCGGGAAGCAGAGCACCTGTATCGCTGGGTGGAGAACAACCTACTTTCCATCAGGGCAGAACACATCTCAGGTCTGTCGAATACACAGACAGACTGGCTAAGCAGGACCACCATAGATCAGTTGGAGTGGCGCCTTCACCCCTCCCTGTTTCAAGAAGTGGCATGGACATTCGGTCAGCCAGTGGTCGACCTGTTTGCTTCCCCTCTCAACACTCAACTCCCGAGATTTTTTTCAAGGTACCCATCGCAAGGGGCAGAGAACTTCAACTCACTCTACTCCACTTCCACTGGTTCCCAAGGTAATCCATTGGTACAGCTCATGAAAACTCCAAATCCACAATCTCAGAAAATTAGAATATTGTGAAAAGGTTCAATATGCTAGGCTCAAAGTGTCCCACTCTAATCAGCTAATTAAGCCATAACACCTGCAAAAGGTTCCTGAGCCTTTAAATGGTCTCTCAGTCTGGTTCAGTAGGAATCACAATCATGAGAAAGACTGCTGACCTGCCAGTTGTGCAGAAAACCATCATTGACACCCTCCATAAGGAGGGAAGGCCTCAAAAGGTAATTGCCAAAGAAGTTGGATGTTTCCAAAGTGCTGTATAAATGCACATTAATAGAAAGTTATGTGGAAGGGAAAAGTGTGGAAGAAAAAGATGCACAAGCAGCAGGGATGACTTGCAGCCTGGAGAGGATTGTCAGGAAAAGGCCATTCAAAAGTGTTGGGGACTTTCCCAAGGAGTGGACTGAGGCTGGAGTCAGTGCATCAAGAGCCACTACACACAGACGGATCCTGGACATGAGCTTCAAATGTCGAATTCCTCTTGTCAAGCCGCTCCTGAGCAACAGACAATGTCAGAAGCGTCTTACCTGGGCTAAAGAAAAACAGAACTGGTCTGTTGCTCAGTGGTCCAAAATTCTCTTTTCTGATGAGAGCAACTTTTGCATCTCATTTGGAAACCAAGGACCCAGAGTCTGGAGGAAGAATGTAGAGGCACACACTGCAAGATGCTTGAAGTCCAGTTTAAAGTTTCCACAGTCTGTGTTGATTTGGGGAGCCATGTCATCTGCTAGTGTTGGTCCACTGTGCTTCATTAAATCCAGGGTCAACGCAGCCATTTATCAGGAGATTTTGGAGCACTTCATGCTTCTTTCCACAGACGAGCTTTATGGGGATGCTGACTTCATTTTCCAGCAGGACTTGGCACCTGCCCATACTGCCAAAAGCACCAAAACCTGGTTCAGTGACCATGGGATTACTGTGCTTGATTGGCCAGCAAACTCACCTGACCTGAACCCCATACAGAATCTATGGGGCATTGCCAAGAAAAAGATGAGAGACATGAGACCAAACAATGCAGAAGAGCTGAAGGCCACTATTGACACATCATGGTCTTCCATAACACCTCAGCAGTGCCACAGGCTGATAGCTTCCATGCCACACCGCATTGAGGCAGTAATTGCTGCAAAAGGGGCCCAAACCAAGTACTGAGTACATATGTACGCTTATACTTTTCAGAGGTCCGATATTGTTCTATGTATAATCCTTGTTTTATTGATTGCATGTAATATTCTAATTTTCTGAGATTGTGGATTTGGGGTTTTCATGAGCTATAAGCCATAATCATCACAATTATGACAAATCACAGCTTGAACTATCTTGCTTTGCATGTAATGAGTCTATCTCATATATTAGTTTCACCTTTTAAGTTGCATTACTGAAATAAATGAACTTTTGCATGATATTCTAATTTTTTGAGTAACACCTGTATACACATACTCCCTTCCAACCCTGCTGGAGCAGGTTATTGGACTAGAATCAGCAAAGCATCTCTGATTAGATTCTAGTAGTGAATAAAATCTAATCAGAGATGCTTTGCCAATTTTTGTTGATTTGTTTTATTTTTATTTCTTTATTTTATGTTGCTGAATTGCATTGACATGTGTGTCCCTTCTTGTGCACAACCCAGAAGCTTTTGTGATTCTTTGCAGCAAAAATTACCGACCTCTGGCTTTGCTCTACTTTTCAAACATGCTGGCACTGCTGCATTCTAGGTGCCAGCCCCACCGGTCCACCCCATTGAGCCCGCTGCACTGGAGGGACCTGCCCAAGCAAGTCCGAGCGGAGCGGTGCACCAAATCAATGGGTTGAGCCTGGTAGAGGGAAAGAGAGAGAGAGAGAAAAGAGAGAAACAGAGAAGGAAGAAAAGAAAGAGAAAAGGGAAAGAAAGAAAAAGGGACAAAGAAAGGGGGGAATGGAGGGATGGAGAGGGGAGGGAGGGAGAGAGGGAGAGAGAAAGAGAGAGAGAGAGCGCGTGCGCGCGCGAGAGAGCTGATGCATCAGATTGAAATGAGGTCTAGTTTAGACGCCCTTTTCCACATTGAAACATCTTTGCCATGATCTTTGCCAGCACATCGAAACATCTTTGGCTTCTATTAATTAAAGGTTTTGTGGATGAAACTTGGCCAAGACTATCAGGAAGCTTTCACATTCACTTGAGGCTTTAAACAGGATCCATTGGACCAGATCTCCACCCTAAAAAATTACATTTCCCTAATGTATTACAGTGCCAATTCTGAAGAAGGAAAAACCAAAATGTATTGGTAAATTATGAAAACACACACACACACACACACACACACATTCCCTTCTAACCCTGCTTGAGCAGGTGATTGGACTAGAATAGATATCTCATTATCTTTCTTCTCCTTCCCTCCCTCCTTTATTTCTTTTTCTTTCTGTCCCTTCCCTCCATCCCCCCTCTTTCTTTGTCCCTTTTTCTTTCTTTCCCTTTTCTCTTTCTCTTCCTCCTTCTCTCTTTCTCTCCCTCTCTCTTTCCTCTCTCTTTCCCTCACTCAGGCTCATCCCATTGACTTCATGCACCACTCTGTTCGGATTTGCTTGGGCAGGTGCCTCTGGTGCAAGGGGCTCAATGGGGTTGAATGCGGTGGCGGTGGGATGTTTGAAAAGGACAGGAAAGCCACTCTGGCTTTGCTTTCCTATTCCCAATGCTGCATTCAGGGCGAAGCTCCTTGCACCACAGCATGCAAGTCAATGGGATGATCCTGTGGGACCTTGCCTCAAACGCGGCGGCCGGGGGGATTTTTTCTCACTCCTGAATTGTGCCCTGGCGCTCACCTCCAGCGCCCCCCTGTTGCCTCTTAGCACCCCCCTGCTGGCCCCCTTGCCTCTCAGCGCCCCCCTAAGGCATCCCACCACCCACTTTGGGAAGTTATACAAGAAAATAATTATCAGAAAAGGGGAAAATAAAGAAGCCTGAACATTATTTTCTCTGTTTAAGAAATGCAATAAAACACTTAACATGTTTTTTAAAAAATATTGTTTGGGATTAGGTACGTATAATGTAACTGTGTACTCTTTTTGGGGTGGGGTAGAGTATAAGATATGTACGCATGCTTTTTAATCACACATTCCTCCTATCTGTAGGAGTTTTAAGATGAGGATATACGATTTATAATAATAAAAAGGTTTAGCTAGAATTAAAAGTTGGAAAATCTGAACTAGAAAGAGCCAGCTTCTAAAGTCTTCAGGATTAAACTGATCTCAAAACAAATGATTCAGAAATACCCGGAAATGTTCATTCTACTTTACCTGGGCTAGCATCCAACTTGGAATACTAATGAATCTCACACCAGAAACTTTTTCTCAGCTCCACTTAATAAATTAGCTCTTCCTGTCCAAAATACCTGAGATTGTTGTCTGAGATACGTTTAAAACATTAAACTTTACTCTTTGGCTACATGTGTAAGTTGGACTACTCTGTGTGTATCTGTCTCTTTCTCTCTGTATGTATCTCCATGGGGAAAAAAAATAAGGCATTGGGGCATAAGCCCAACATTTAATGTGTGATTTGCCCCATCTCTTGCCAGAAGAAGAAATTCAATAGTGTCTGCAAATAAGCTCCTTTACACGGTTTTAATTCTAACTTAACTTCTGTAGTCCACATCCCATATTTAAAAGGTTCCTAAGGGTTCACTAACATGCCTATTGTCCCTGTCACATTTTAGTTTTTACATTTTGCTTGTTTGAATTTGTAGGTTTTTCTTTTGATAAATAAATATGACAGAGCAAGTATTTATAAATCAATCTACTTCAGTGTGATGTCTCCAAAACCTTTGGAATTGTTTCTCTATAATTTCTGCAAATAGGGGAATACTGCTTAGATATGGTTGAACTATAGTTCATCAAATCTATAAGGTAAACAATTTTGAAAAATTGTTGCAAGGTTTATGGATTTATTTTACTTTAGATCAGGGGTGTCAAACTCAAGGCCTGTCGGCTGGATCATCCCACAGGGTGCTAAGATCTGGTCTTCAGGGCTACCCTGCCAGTGAAAATGGGCTCCCAAATTCTGTTTTCAGCTGGGACAGCCTCTGCCCAGCAAAAATGGAGATTGGGAGGGCTGCCTGCCCGTTTTCGTGGGCAGAGGGTTGCAGGAGGCTGTTCCAGCTGAAAACAGAGATTGGGAGTTCATTTTCAATGGCAGGGCACTTGGGCCGCCACAGGCAACCCTGACACGAATGATGTCAAGCTACCCCCCCGAACCCCCAAGGTCAAACACAACTCTGATGCGTCTATCAATAAAATCGAATTTGACATCCCTGTTTTAGATATTCTTACTTTAGTAAGATTTTTCCTTATAGGCTTTGGGTTGCTTTGGCTTGTTTTTTCCTCGCCATTGTTTACCTTGCCTTAAAGCCATTAGGATCCTTGTCAGGTTCAACAATGATTTGACTTGTGAGGTTAAGCGATTATGATATTTCATCTAGAAATGTGTTACACAATAGGATAAATATTTTTTATGTTGTTTTTCAGCCATTTTCAGAAATTCACATTGGAGGCTGTCTTGGGAACAACCATTACATCTACAAGAGGTAGCATAATTCTTATCCTGTCACAGACTCAACCACTGATTCTACAATGTCCAGTATAGATCCATTTCAGCAGATCATGGTAAGTGGATAATTGTTTTATTTTGATTACCCAAGATAATTATTTTAATTATGGTAACAATATTCAATATCAGGGCCTGCATATTTTGAAATATACAGATAGGAATAATTTAAAATAAGGAAATAAAATGGAAAGGCACTGAATTAAAGTAAATAGGTCAAATTGATTGCTAGAAGGGCTAGAAATGCTATAAAAAGAAACTGTACTTAATATACTATGGAAATGACTCTGAAAACCCATAGGAAATTAAAATATTTGGATATCTGAACTGACAATATCCAAGCATTCCAGGATTCAGATATCACACTTTTCAGTCTTCAAGCTATGCTTGGGATATCAGGAACATGGCAACCTTTTCTAGTTCCCCATTTCCTCTGTCTTCCCTCAAAGCAATTTTTTTTATTTCCTTCTGTGGTTTGCTATAGTTATTTGAATCAGGCATTTGTCAAGTCCCAAGTAATCCTGAATCCTGATTGCTTATTTATTTATTTGAATCTTTGCAGCCAGTGTTGTTAAACTGATCCAAACTGACAGCAAGCTGTGGTTACAGTAAACCACTGAAAGAGCCATGCTAGAGAGAAGGAAGCTGCAAAAGAAATACCTTGACTGAACTTTCAATTCCTTATGCCTCCTTTATATCTGATGATCGTAACCTTTTCCACAAGGATGTAGTCATTATATTCTTTTAAGTATAACTATAGCTCATGCTTACAAAATGGCTGTTCCACTTTGATTTTACCTTCACTGGGTTAATATTACTAGAGCTTCTTTTGCCTATTTCACTCAACTCTAGTAAAGGAAAATTCTTTTAATTAGTAAATTAAATCATCAACATTCATAAATTGTATGTTTGAATATGTATATATAGGGCCATATTGTAGAAGAAAGTCATCTTTTCGCATTGCAGTTGCAAACCCATTCCAAAATGTTAGAATATTTAGCAGACCACAATTTAGTAAAACCTGTAAATTCAATGTAAGCTCTCCACCAACTGCTATCATGCTGCTAGCATATATGCCTGGAACTCTCCATGCTGTAATAGAGAATGTGTTCCATTATATGCTATAATAAGAGTATGTGTTGCATTATATAAGAAAGAGTTCTTTTTTAAAACAAACAAACAAACCTAGATTGTTTACTAGATTAACTGTTTTGCATCTTCATGCTATTTGCCTTGGGCTCAGAGAAAGACAAATTGGATATTGATTAAAATAATCAAGATGTACAATAGGTCCTAGCAGTGGTTTGATTCTTAACTTGAAAGCCTTCAAATTTTTCTCATATTTGTGGAGAGGCACCTTCCATCAAGGTTTTACAGATGCAAACTAAATTTTTAAGTGATTATCCTGTTGTATTTTTGTTCTGAAATTATAATTCCTTCTAAATAACTCTTCTCCTCCATGCTTCATTGAGAACCCAGGATGGGTTGACTCCTTCCTATGATGTCATTTAGTTGAGTCTGTACTAAGATATAAAAGCCAGCCCCCAGGAGAGACCCCAGCTTTTGACTCAGCTCCTTTCAGTCAGTAGCTGTGTCTCTGAAAGGGTTCTGTTAGACAGCACTCACAGCGATCTTCAGTACTTTTTTCCTCGCTCCAAGCAGCTCCCAGGGCAGCTGCTCTTCCAGGAGAGCAGGGCTCTCTCTCCTGCAATGTTGGGAGCAGCATTACAGAGCTCTGTGCAGGCAAGCTGGGCAGCGTCTGCAGACCTCCCCCATGCCTGTGGTTTGGAGTGATCATAAAAACAATCAGCAAATTGATAAGAGCATAAGCCAGCTGATCATGTGGCTGGTTGCTGCGTTTTTCCCTTGCTGACTTCGCTCGGGGCTCTGTATAGCCTAAGGAGCGATTCTTTGATCTTGAAGCCTGTTTTCCTGTAGTCAGTGGCCATCTTGGATTCAAGCCTTCCACCACGAGGTGAGCGGCCATTTTGTAAGCCCAGGGGCCATTTATACCCTAAGGGCTTAATAGAAAAATTTCTAAACAGCTTCTTTCCAATGCAAGAGCCTTTATTCTACAAATGGAGCAAGATAAGGCTCAGGCAGAGCTCCCCGCCCCCCCAGTGAAACAGTCTCTTAAGCCCAATAAGAGAAAAAGATGTAGGCAATGCACCCAATCAGTCCAGAGGGAGGTGGCTGCTAAAATCAAAGCTAAGACTCTAGCTCCTAAGAAGGCTATTCAGGCTGAATTGAGGGCAGAGAAGTGCAGACATGCAGCTCTAGAGAGACAGTTCAACAGAACTATTCAACAGAAGGGAGTGCAACTACAGCATGTTTCAGGTGATACTCATGGGCCCCAACCCGCCCTCCCAGGAGAGGAGAAGTTATCTATGAGCCTTTCCATCCTCCATCCTGGTCTCCTGAGGCTCTTGCTGTATGTACAATCAGATCCTCAGGATCTAAGCAGATCTGGGTCTTATTTCCAACAGGCTTCTGTGCCCTATGCTCCCCCTCCCTCCAGGCCTCGAACCTCTCCTCAATCTAGGCCTGGAGCCACCTTCACTCCCACAGCAGCGGGCCTTCGTGCTTCTGCCTCTACCTTTGAGCATAGACCAAAGGATATCCAAGAAATTGTCTCATTAGCCATTAGGCAGGGATTGGCCGAAGGCTTCAAGCAAATTCTTCAACCTCTGGAAAGGGTTCAGGCCCTTCTCCCTTCTCAATCTATAAGTTCCTTGCCTCATCATCATGATTTACACAGGCCCCAGGACCTCAGGGTCCATTCTTCTCTACCAGAATGGGAGGAGGTTGATGAGGAAGGAAGGCCTTCACCATCTGAACGCAGTTTCTCTTCTCATTCAGAGGGTGAAGAGGGTGAGATTTTTGACCAAAATCTTTCAGAGGAAGAGGATTCTCGCCCAGAACAGACATCCTCTGCATTGGTCTTCAATCCTTCTCTCTTCAGGCCATTACTCAGCAAGGCCTTCGACACTGCCAAGCTGTCACTAGAGGAAGTGGCTCCCGAGCCACAAGGAAATCCCTCTAGCCAAGGGGATTTGCTCTTCTCCAAGCCTGTAGTGCATGCAGAGGTTTTGCCTTCTCCCATTTTGTTCCTGGACATAGTCAAGGAACAGTGCGCTTCTCCTTTGGCGGGTCCTCACCCATTTTCTCTGGATAAGTGTTTCTACAATGTCAGCACAGCTCTGAACAATGCCCTGGCAGTGCCTTCTGTTGACATTCCAGTTCTGGCCTCGTTCTCATCTTCTGGCACTCCCACGGAGCCAGAAGATATCCTGAAACCGGATGATAAATGCTCCAAACAGACCTTCAAGCTCAATCACCAGGCCGCTGCTTGGGCTGTTCGGGCTTCAACAGCAGCATCGTTTTTCACGAGGATATCCATATGGTGGCTGCGCCAACTCCAGAATAGATTACCTGCTTCTGACCTTCGGTCTCACCAAGACCTTAATAAAATTATTGCAGCGGCAGAATTTACTGCGAATGCCACTCTCAATTCCCCCAAATTTGCATCCAAGGCCATGGCATCTTCTGTAGCAGCAAGAAGACTTTTATGGCTCTAAAATTGGCAGGCAGAGTCACACCGAAAATGGAAGCTGGCTTTAGTTCCATTTGCAGGCGATAAGCTTTTTGGTGATGCTCTGGAACCTTATCTCATTGAAACCAGAGATAAACGTAAAATTCTCTCTTCCTCTGGGAAGAAAGCTGACTATTGCCCTGCTCCTTATTGCCCTCCTGCCTTCCGAGCGGAGACCTCATCTCGCTTCCCCCGCTCTCACAGGCCATACTCCCAATGTCAAGACCAATATGCAGAAGCATCTGGCAGGCAACAACCTTCTACTGGTAAATGGCCCTTTCTGGGGGGGAGGGGGTCATTCCTTCCATCGCTCTAAGTAATTCCTCATTTTCCCTACCCCTTGGAGGTTGCCTAGCCTTCTTTGCCTCCAAATGGGAGGAGTCAACGACGGACGCCTGGGTGCTTAGCAAAAAAAAATTAAGCTGTCCTGTGTCTCGGGACAGGCAAGCCCTTATGAATCAGGCCATTCAGCACCTTCTTGAAATCAAGGCTATTCAACCTGTTCCCCCCTCTCAATGGGGATGGGGACTTTACTCTTGCCTTTTCATCGTTCCCAAAGCCTCAGAGGGGTGGTGAGCCATCCTTGATCTAAAATTTCTCAACCAATTTGTAAAATACCGGCAATTTAAAATGCAGACTCTGCATTCTATTTTAGAGAGCATTCGGGAGGGCGACCTCCTCTCTTCCATTGATTTCACTGAGGCTTATCTCCACATCCCAATTTGGCCTCATCATTACCAGTTTCTCCATTTCTGTTATCAGAATACCCATTACCAGTATTGAGCACTTCCCTTTGGCCTCTCATCGGCTCCAAGGGTCTTCACAAAGATTCTGGCAGCATTGATGGCATCTCTGTGTTCTATTCCAGTGAGGATCCAATGCTACTTGGATGACATTTTGATTCTATCCTCTTTCATCCTTGCGGCCCATCGGGATCTGCAAATTACCCTGTCAAATCCAGAGCCACAGATTTTCCATCAACACCAAAAAGAGCCAGCTCTCTTCCACAACCAAATTGCAACTCTTGGGAGCAGTCATCAATATCATGTCGTGCCAGGTTTTCCTGTTCCCAGCTCGTGGAAAGAGTCTTGTAGAGATCATCAGCCAGATCCAGCAACATCGAATTTTCCCCCTGTCGCTGATGTCCAAACTTCTGGGGAAGATGGTCTCCTGTATTGGCATCGTGCCGTGGGCTCGGCTCCACTCCCGACCCCTCCAATGGTTCCTGCTTCCCTAGTAATGAGCAGGAACCAGCCACTCATCCATCAAGGTCCCACTCCCGCCACAAATCCGGAGATTTCTCAATTGGTGGCATTCTCCGTCAATCTGGAGGCAACTCCTGTCAGGGACCCAGGCAGACTAGTGATAACCACCGATGCCAGCCTCCTGGGTTGGGGTTACCATATGCAGGGCCAGATAGCTCAGGGTGTTTGGTTCTGATCAGAGCAGACCCTTCCCATAAATTGG